TACTATTAATTCAAATGATTTTAACAAGAATTATAGTACATCATACATATTAGATAGTGGTTGTTTACGTATTCGTTCTAGTTCACATTTATTATCGACTCATTTATGTATGACTAATTCTGTTAATAACAGTTTATTATTTGATGATCGTAAATGGTATTCAACTGATATATTCGTTCTGAATAAAATTGAGTTTAATTGTCCATTGAACTGGTTGAATATAAATGCCGACTGCTATTATATTTCTAATGAACCTGAGACTATTCAAGAAGCAATGGATACTTGCATTATTGAGTCAATAATCGAAAAACGTTTTAGTGCATTTGCAATGATGCCAAATAATACGAATCATACAGTTGTTAATCTTGATGATAAGAAGAAAACGATTATCAAACACAAGAATCCTTTTATTGATACTCTTGATGGAGAAATTGCACAATATATGTTACCATGGGAAGTTCGTCTTGGCTTTTTTCTTCTTGATACAAGTAAATTAACTTGAATACTACTAATTAATGTTTTTGTGAAACACGATCTGAAAGGAATGTTGAAGTGTTTAGAGGTAGAAATTTGGATCCACTCCCCCACAGACCGTGACAGAGAACCTGTGGACCCGTCACAGACTGTGACAGACAGGTCTTTGTACCCATCATAGACCGTGACTGACAGGTCTCTAGACCCGTCACAGACCGTGACAGACAAGACTGGTATCATTATAGACTGTGATAGAAGGCTTCAAGGAAATATCAGATATGATGCACAACTAACATATCATTGAAGCATATTTTGAGTATTATACTGTCGAAGGCATATAATGTAAGGTAATCCATTATGAAGAAATATACATCTGTAGCCATAAAAAAGAACAGCTTTTAGAATATCGGCTATAGCAGCTACATCGTGTTTCACATTTTTAATCCCGAAAGGGATTGCGCTAACAGCTTTTTTTTATAGTTGTTCCTTTTAATATCCGATGTCGAGTAGCTTTTCATAATCCGATCCAAGTGCAATGTTTTCCCTGAGTAATATGCAGAGCTTTAGTTTATATTCGATTTTAATAAGCTATGTTTTATGTTATCCAACATTCTATTTAAGATTATTTCCTTTTATTTGATCTTTTTCTTTTTTCTAATCTTCTATTTGTTTTTCTTGGTGGAACGTAGAAATTACTAATATTATTAGTTAATGCAAAAACATCATTTGATTATACTTCAGTGTTTCGTTACATTGATTCATATGATATACAAAATTTTAAGACTCCCATCACTAACTAATGTATTATAGACTTTTTATTAGCTTTTTATGAGATATGAAGTAATCAAAGAATAGAAACTACTATAAAATATACGCTTCATTATTCTTTCTTGTTATATATTATGCTATAACAGTATGTGTAAAGAAAAAAAGTAACTGAATTTTGTATCTGCAGAATAGACACGTGATCTGACCAAAGTATGACACTGGTTCCTAACCAATTGAATCTTATTGATTTGTTCGATTTGTATCGTACACACTTGTTAATAGTATACTAATGATATGTGAGTTAGAGAGAAATATAATTTTATCGTTCGATACTGACGATTGAAAAGTAGTAAACCGATGTCGTATGTATTCTTCTGAATACTGCTGGTGGTACCCTTAACTTTCAGTTCCAGATCGAAATTTTTACATAGAACATCTCTTGCTTAAATTCAAATTTACTATTAAGAAGAATACAAAATTATGGAAAAAGAAATATTTTTATATTTTTTTCTCTGTAATAATAATATTTGTAGTAGTATCTATAATGAAAAATTGATCTCAGTACTGGGATTAATTTGGACTCTATGGCTAGTACAGACGGCTTAAATACATCAACATTAACTCAGACACATTGACTTGAACGAAATTTTGATGATTTTATGAGACTTATAAAAAAATTGAACTTTTTCGATATACTAGAACACGATATACTAGTTTTCGAAAAATCCGACGATATACCGCACATTATATACCGGTGATTTTTTTTCTGTTTCAGTTACATAGGAAACTATTAGATAATCAAATTACTTGTATGTCAGGAGAATTCTTTTAGAATGGCTTTGATTTTACTAGATATTGTTTTCAATGCAATCTATATTATTTACTGATGACTTTTTCTTTTAGCTTAAATCATACGTACTTATTGAAACATTGTTCATAATTAGAAATGTACCAAAAGATTCTTTCATCTCTAATAAGACAAGAACAAAAATTTTGAATGCAGAGTGAATACTCTACAGCATTAAATATGAATAATACTAATAAAAAGAAGTTTGTTAGAGCAGATTCGTTGAATTTTAAATATGATACTCGCATATTTCTTCATGCTTTCTCACATTAATACTAAATACAGTTGAAAATCTCTAAAAGTCAATCGTCGTTTATTTTTTTTTGATGATTAATAGTAAGCGAATGATCTTTTGTATTTCTTATTTTTAGTAGGCATCCTATTTTCACTTTTATTTTATTTTTTCACTTTCGTATATTTTTTTTTTTTGAATTTAACACGTTTGTCATTGTGAACATTCGTTCAAATGGCAAATAGTCTTGTCACGAATATTCATTATATAATCTTGGTTGTTAAGGCTTGTAATTTAGACGTGTGGATCTATCTGTAACAGAAGCAAAGAGCTAAAGAAACTCACTGCTGAAATTTACATTCACTAATTTTCTTCGAAAAGACATGTGTGTTTCATAAAATAAGAATAGTGAATGTTTTACGATCATAAGTTATGAGACGATGTTTTTGAGTGCCACTCTAAAAAATTTTAATTATTGTTAATTAAAATGATTTCTTTTTAGATGCGTACAAAATGGAATCTGAACTATCATTATCTTCTAATGTTGAAGTCAATCGTTCGTCAATAAATGAATTTCAAATAATCATTTCAACTAACAATAATAATTCAACTGTAAATGATAAATCTTGTTTAATTATGACACGTACAAAAATTAATGAAGAAGAAAGAATTTTTATTTCAACAACAAATCAAAACAAGAATTGTTCTCAACCGAGACATGTTTTATGTAGAAAGAGATCAATTATTGATCAGAGAATTCAACAAATTTGTTTTCGTAAACCACTAACACTTGATGTACCTGTTTTAATATCAAATTATTTAACACATGAATTATGTATGTCTGCATGCTCTTATGTAGGAGCGGATGTCAATCTTCTACATATGAATAGATGCTATTGTATAGATATTACTTCAGAAGCAATCAATTTTGAAGAAAATTATAGGAAATATATTACAACAGATTGTGGAAAGCCCTGTCCAGGTAGGTTTTCTATGTTTATATAAATGATTTTCTACTTTTTTAAAACTAGTTAAACTATGTTTCAACTTTATGTTAAGAAGAAATAGACTTTCGAAAGTCTTTCATTGATAATATTTTGTTCCATTGCACAGTCACGTGATGACACTAATTATAAAATCAATTGTCTCTTTTAATGGATTCAGTTCAATTCTGAATTATCTTTTTTTAGTTATTTGAAATTTTTCTATAGTTTAGATTTTCGGAAAAAGTGACTTTATACTATTTTGTTGATCTTTCATCTAGACGAGTCATACAGCAGATTCTAAGACAGAAGACAATGTCTATTTATTCAGTCTTTCATTAATTTATTATCCATAGTATATGCGTTGTTGATTTCTTACTTATATACCCGTTTGAAATCATATTTTGACCATTAATGTAACCATCATCAAATATAGTTTAAAGCTAGCTAACTATGATTAAATTCTTAATACAGAACAAGCCAATATTTGTCGAAATGTTACATTTAACAGTATCATAAACGGAATCGATACCAGTCTAGATTTTGATTCGACCTTTTCATTGGTCCAAAAATGCTCTACCAATGATTACTGATTCGATTGATTCAAACCAAAAAACAGCTATCATTAATCCTTATCGCCTTAATCACACAGTGATCGTTTTGAACAATATACTTCTAGGATCTTCTTCATGAAATGATTGTTATTAAATGAGAAACTTTGTATCACTAAATATACCGATGCCAAAGCGACCTACAAGAGAGAATACAATACTGAATGATATTTACGGTATGTCTCGATCTGTTGTCTGTACATTAATACTTTTTCAAGACATCAACTGTTTCTGACAAATTAATCGAGCATCGTTCTATTGTTTAGTTACGATCGGGTTAATTTTTATCAGTAAACTGATCCCATCTATGAAAAGTATCTAAGAAAAAGAATCCTAAAGTCGAAACATGAATTACATATTGTGACATTCAAGGATGCTTTGTATTAACAATATCTTTTTTTTTTATCCTAATAATCAGCCAATTCCTTTATTAAAACTTGTATATATATATATGATATTGAAAACTTTAGGTAATCCAAATGAATATTGTGGTGATACAAATACAATTATTCTCTTATATAGAAAGAACGCTTTATATATGACAGATTTCGAGAGCATTATTCGATACTATAAACCATATCCTGATTTTGTTTACGATAGTTGTGTTCAATTCAATAATACCAAACAATCAGGAATGTATCAATTCAATATAGTTAATAGACAAGATGTTCATCCACGTCATTGTTTACAACTATGTAAAAAATATGAACAACGATATGCACTTCTTAATTCAAATACATGCTTATGTACGAATATTCCAATAAAAAAAGTAACAAACAAGCTGAATTTCTTCAATTGTGATCAACAATGTTATGGTAATTATTTTTATAAATGTGGACATAAAATCGATTCAGCAATGTATTCAGTATATCTTATACGACCAGTTTGTCCATATAGTAAGAAAAAGTATCAATTAGTTTTCAGTTAAATAGAAACAAGAGAATATTTAATTATATTAGGTTTTCTTATGACTGATAATCCACAACAATGTGCTCATGTCAAATATTTATTTAAAGATTCTTTTTCAAGTGCACAATCTTATTGTAAATCAATGGACAGTGTACTGGCGAAAATAAATAATATTTTAGAAATTCAAGATCTATTACCTGATACATTACTTAATAACAGTTATATCCATCGATCTTTATATCGTTCTTCAATAATCGATGATAGAGAGTATTTTTGGATTGATCGTACAACGAATATCATTAATAATAATAGAGCATCAAAAAGTTTTTTCAAGCATTGCATGGAAACATCAAAGTCAATTGATCGAAACTGTATTGTTCTCCGTCGTGAAAAGATTCTCGTTGATAACGTAATAAAATTTCAACGATGTTTTTCTGAATCAGATCAATGTTCGTCGAGATCTGCAATACCTGTTTGTGTTGACAAAAATTTAGAATCTCATTCAAATGCAATACCTTCAATGGAAGATAATGATTCATCGATCATAAAAATTAATATATTCACAGACTATTTATGTGGTAATGATACAGATTATCATTTAATCCGTGATTATTGTTATAAAATATTATTACATGAAACAACTTGGCATAAAGGAAAAACTGAATGTGAACGTGACAATGCTACATTATTATTACCGGGAAGTAACTCAATATTTTATTTGATAAAACAATTAATTTCACATCGTCATAGTTACGCATTATCTACTGGTATTGCACATGTTGATTATTTTTATGCCAATGAAACTTTTTATACTAAACAACATAAATCAATTGACGAAAGCATTCAAACGCAAAATTTCTATTATGAAAACTATCCTACTTTATGTAAATTCTCACTTTATGATCATATTGTTAAGTTAGTAGAAGTTTCATTCAATGAAACAGTGAAATATATAGACAAGCTCGAATTTCCTGTAGGAAGATGTGGACATGTTAATTTTGTGGTGGAACCTGGAACAGGACGAGGATGCAGTAAAGAATCTTGCAATCAATCAGCAACTGTAATATGTCAAAAATTGCCAATGATGATAACTGATAATATCCTAGCTAAACGGTTAGTTGTTGTTAGTAATTACATTTGTCTTTGAAGAATAGAAAGGTTAATAGAAATGTTTTTTTTTGACTAGACGAAGATTTTCATTAAAAAAAAGGCAAAAGAATCATTGTGAAATTTGATAGAGAATTAAACTAAAGTATAATGCCGTACGATAGACGTGATTGTAAACATAGTTATCAATCAAAGTATTATACTTGAATATGACTATTATCCATTTAAAAAAAAAAGACCCGTGGCCCTTTTTTGAATAACTTTTGATAGGAACCAGATAGAGAGGTGCGGTTTTCGCCACTAGAAAGAGAAGACTGAGGCACATCAATCTATGCTAAAATATGATTGGTTAGCAATGGACCAATCAGGTGCATTTTCAATGGACATGTTAAGCCCTGTTCTCTGGAGCCATTT